TTAGGGACCACCTTCTGTACTGATGGTTTACATGTGCACCATGAGTGAGCTCAGGCTGTAGGGTTAGGGACCACCTTCTGTACTGATGAGCTACAGTACCTCTTTAGCCTTACAGCTCTGGAAGTGCACATAAAGTCATCTCCAGTCCCCAATGCAATTTTGGTACATAGTACCAACTTAATAAATATTTCTTGGATTAATTAATGAGGAGTAGTTAAAATATTCACATTCCAAATCTGTGTTAAACAAATGAACTGCAGCATGTCAGGTATCTTTAGAGCAGCATGAGCTGTGTCATAGTTCCCATCCTTCTCAGCTCTACATACTTTATTGAAAATAGGAAAAAGATTTCTCTGGGCCTTTCCTCTGTTCCCTGCTTTCACTGGAGCAGGAGCCAAAGAGAGTTCAGAGTGCCCATTTCATCCAGCATGTAGCGCATAGATTCTCAGTTTTTTGTGATGTTTATCATTAAAAATATATTTAATAAGGCTGTAACATTATCAAGATAACTGCATTAGACAAAACAAAGGTTATAAAAATTGTTCTCAGGCAAGTTATTTTGACAATAAAAAATACTCTCAATATTTTCCCCCATAAATGTTTAAATTTATTATTTAAATTTTTTGTGCTGCCTAATTTCTTTGTTTCTATTCTCAGGAAGCAGCCACTTCCAGTATTTTTGCCTTTATTTTTGGTAATTACTACCATATTTCTAAGTCACATATTTCAATCTGTAATAGACTTGAATTTAGTTCTTAAAATCTTTTTCTACCACACAAACACAAATATACATTCACAAACATACCTTCTCTCGTTATGTCAATATGATTGTATCAAAATTGTTATTAAGATCAATATTCAGAGCATACATTCTCATTTTATATGGATTTTTCCCCTGCTGAGCCTTGGATTGTGCTGGTATCAATTTCTCTTCTATAAAACGGTCTTCATTTTCCTGGTTTTACTGAGAGTGTATTTCGACTTTCTTGGTTTTGGGGTCTGCCTAGCAGTGATGTGTCCTCACACGCTCTCCCCGGAGCAGTGCTCCCTTTTGATACCTTTAACACACCTGCGACCTACAGTGGCATCTTTTCTGGAGGTTCCCCTCCTGGTGCGCCCTGTCCCGCTGCTCTCATCAGGACATGTCTCTCTCTGCCCCTGCTGCTCTGACTTCCCTGCAGCCATTCTCTTCCCCTCTCCTGAGTTCCATCCCCTGCTTTCTGGATGTTGTGTTTTCTTCTGTTTATTCTTTCCTGACAAATGGATCACTGAGAGGAAACACGTCTGCATGAGACCTGGTGTGTCTGCAAGCGTCTCACTCCACCCTTGTACTTGATTGTGGTTAGCTGAACGCAGAACTCTACGTTGGAAAATTTCTTTCCTCATAATTTCAAAGGATCGCTCTATTTTTACTGCTGTGAAATGTGTATTACTGCTGAAAAATCAGATGCCGTTTATTTCTCACTTCTTTTGTTCATGGATTTGTACATTTTTTTTGGTAGTAAAAGCTTTCAGCACTTCCCTTTATCCCCAGTTCCTGCATTTCATGACACTTTGCACTGGAGTCAGTCTGTCTGTCATTC